CCCCCCCCCGCCTCCAACAGCCCACCGGCCTCCAAACACACACAAGCTGCCAGGGGCGGGGGGACATACACACGTCCCTAAACTCAGAAAAACGAGGGTCGACGGAAAACCAAGGAGTCCCGAAGGAAGGGGGTTTTCTCCCTACCAGCTCCCTGCAGGAGAGGCGCCTGCCTTCTCACCGAAAACCGGGGCGACCCAGGTACTCAGCAATTCCTTTGCCGGGGCGGGGGGCCGGGGTTGTTGCGTTAAGCGCTTTCACTTCTTTTTAAAGTGCCCCAGGAAAGGATTGTTTTTGTAAGATGCTGGGTAAAACCAAGGGGCCTCTGCTCCCACCAGAGTCCGCTTCCAGCCCTGCCGCTTCCATGAAAGCGCCACCAGCTCTGCCCTTTGCCAAAAGAGGAAAAAAAAAAAAGTGCATGTGTGTGGGGGGCGGGAGATTTAAAAAAGAAAATCCCTATCCAGCCCATACGTTTAAGAGCAGACCATAGTTTTGGCAATTTTTGATTTGGGAAGGCAAATCGCCATATTCCCGCCAAGTCCAACCCCGTGATACCGAGCCCTGGGAGAAACACGTCTGGAAAGAAAGGCATTAAAAATGCAAAGAATCTGTTTACGCTGCCGCTCCTGCTGGTACAAAGCGTTATAGGAACAAATCCAAGGCAGGCGCGCTCCTCTGCCTCTCAGCACGACTGAGGCCCGCTATCGAGCCCTCCCAACTACCTGTGGGTGGACGCAGACCATTAACAGGGATACTGCAGACGCCAGAAGGGCGGTGAGGCTGCAAAACCCTTTCCTGCCAGAGGTTCTTGCTCCATCAAAAGAAATTATCTGCTCCGGTGAGCTGCCCCGTATAAATTACTACCAGCTGCCAGGAAACAAACATCACACCCAAGACACTGGGAAGAAACGAGAGCTCAATAAGGCACGTTTTATGCGAGGTCTTCCCATAACGAACTTCAATTTCTGGCCTCAGCCTACCTTAATGCACTGTGCAAGGGACTCGCTGTGCTTGCGCTTCTCTTTAGGAGACCCTCTGACCTTCAGTCCGTTCAGGTAGCTCCCATCCAACGCGTCCCTGGTCGCGGTACGTAGATCAAGTCCCCGCAGAGGATCGCTATAGTGCTGGCTGCACAGTTCGGCGTTTGCCCCGCTGGGCTTTCCAGAGCTGTACGACTGACCCAGCCCACCGCAACCTTCACTCGCCTTGTTGCCCGCTTCTCCGAAAGCTGCCGATTCGGATGGAAGGGGCTCCTCGCTGTCACCGTAACACGGAAGACTTTGGTGGTCTTGCCCAGATGTCCTTACAGTTAAGGAAAGGTCAGACAGATACTGAGCCAGATTTCCCAGCTCCCTGAGTCTCGGAGGCAGCGACAGAAATTCTTCATCCCCGTCCCACTCTTTTCTTAGGGGGAGCATTTGCGTTGTAGGTAAAAACCAATGAGCACTTTTTTCCTTTCCGTTGTAATTTGAAAAGGAAAAGGGGGTCTCTCTGGTACACCAGCTTCTCCCGGCCACAGCCGGGTGATCAAGTGAACTTGGCCCAGCTGACTCCATCATTAAGTTCTCAGCGAAACCCCTAGAAGCACCTGCTTTGCCGGTGGAGGAAGCACTTTTGGCAAAAGATGCTTTTGCAATAGGTGAGGGTTCATAGTGAGACACAGATGCTAAACAGCCTCGTTTTCTAGACACTGGGGTGGAGAATCTTTCTGCAGAGACCACAAACTCCTTACGTGGATTTTCTCTGCTTCCCTGAGCCTGCCTACCTTGGCCGCGCATGCTGGCAGACGTCAAAGTGCCCTCGGGAGAAAGAGAAAAGCTGTCCACATCTATTCCCGAGTCATGGAGGAAAGGCTCTGGCGTCTTTCCAAGCTTGTATCTTGGCTTTAACGGATAAGCATAATCAAGCAAGTCCTCGTATTCTTTATTAGGGTTCCAGTGAGGAGACCGGCGGTCTGGAGAGGGGGGTAACGAATCAGGTATCGCACAAGCCCAGTAATCAGCCTGGAAGGACGACATCTTTCTCACACGCTCCATGGCAACACAGTCATCAAGGAGAGGTCTTAACGGCTTGCGTGCACGTAGCAGCCTGTCTCCCGTCGGGCTGGATTGACGGCGCAGGTCCCAAGAGGTGATGGCTGCAGGAGGAGGCACGTCCACGCCGGCTGCTAAGCTTTGGGATCGCTTCATCTCCTGCTGGTCGCAGATGCTGCTGTCTTCTAAGGACAGAGTGGAAAAGCTTGATCTGGAATGGCTCTGGAGGATGTTCTCAGGGCTGAGGGGGGTCTTATCAGGCAAGTACCCCAGGGCGGAGGAAGAAGGGGAGAAGGTCCTGCTGCTCCACTGGTTGGTACCGATATCATGAGAGAAGTTGGAAACGCTGGTTTCTTCTGCAGAGCTCTGCAGGTCGGGAGCGCTGGGTGCCGGCTCTGAGCAGCCCGTTTTCATCTGCTCAAACGTCCAAGGACATGGGAAAGCGGGTGGAGGGGGAGAGAGAGGCAAAAAATGAAGCACTTCAATTCACTAGTTCCAACCCTGCTCATTTTACAAGCTCAGCAGTGGTACAAGCATACTACATCGCAGGAAAATCCCTGTAAAAAGAACCGGGAGAAACGTTCCTGATACTCCAGGAACGCTGAATAACATACTTTGCACGCAGACAAAAGGCCCCTTTATGCGGTCAGCGGCACTGGGCTGCAGAGATAAAAGTCCAGCCCTGGATCTGCTGTAAGGAGCGGCTCAAACGCAAACTCTGCTCCTGCTGTGCAATTGCACGCAACTACTCCAGGCCTGGCCTGGCTTTGTTTTTAAGGAAAGGCATCTCGAGTACTTGGAAGGCTGCGCGAGTCACTTGGCAGCAAGAGCCGCCGTTACGACGCGCGCGCTGAGGGCAGCCAGCCTCCAAAACGCAGTTCAGGGTGCCTATCCTGCAAAAGTCAACAGAAACAGAAGATGACCCACTGCCGTTACGTGTATCCTGCTCAGCTCAGGACCCTCCAAAAAAGGGCAGAAACAGAAAAGCAGGCTCTGCAAATCGCTCAGCAGCCCACAAGATCAGGGCTGCGGGGGACGAGGAGAGAAACCTTCTGCAGCAAACACCCGGCGGAAGCGGCTTTTCCTTTCTATGGCAGGAGCTGCCTTTTGGGCAACTTTCCAGCTGCGCGGCAGCAACAGGAACCAAGGCAACGTTCGAGCCCAGCCCCTCCACGGCCATAAGGTTAAAGACCCCACCTTAAAACTTCCCGTGGAGGCTCACAGCAGCTGCCGTAGGCTGCGCGGTACGGCAGCGGGCTGGGGAAGCTGGTTCAGCCTGGGGCTGGGGTGGACGTGCACTGGCCGGAGGGAGGAGAGGAAAAGCCCCCAGTAGCTTACTGGGCAGGGGAGAGCGTTTGCCGCTGGCTCCCTCCAAGTCGCGCTTCTCTCTCTAGCTGACGCTTCCCCCACTGTAGCGCCCAAAGCGAAGCAGCTTGTATTTTTAAGCACCTACATTTTCATTGCGCTGGGTAAGGGCGTTTCTGCTTTCCCTCGCTAAGCTGGAGCCTGGGCGCACAAATCCCCACCTCACTTGGGACCTCTTGGTGACAAAGCAACACCAATAAGTAAAACCCTCTCACCTGCCGCTCCTCTGAGGAGGAGAAATGGTGGCCGATGTGATGAGACGGATCAGTGCCGGGCGTTGTGCTGGAAATTAACGGCTGTCTCTCCACGAAGTTTGCTTTCGCTGTGGACAGCCTGGACGCGGATGCTAAAGGCACTTCTCGGCAGGAGCTTGAATTCCTCTGGGTAACACCAGGGACCGAGCGACCACGTCCACTCATCGCCACGCGCTCAGCTCCCTTCAGGGAGGATCTGACTTCCTCTGCGTCCAAGCGCTGGCGCGCGCCGTTACCCACCTCTGGGTAGTCCGTCTCTACCTCTACGTAGCTCCACCTGCCGTAGCGCTTGGCCTTCCCGCTCAGCGATGCTTCGGAAAGTGATTTTTCTACGCCCAAAGCCATTAACGCAGCGCTTCCTCCGAAAGACGGCGCTGAGCCTAGGGCGCTCTGAAACAGAGAACACAAGTAGCATCTCTCCGTCTCCTCCTCCTCCTCCCCTCATTTCCATACCAAGGAAGAAGCCAGAGAGGTTTAACCGCTAAGACCTTAAACGCGTTCGGGGTCAAACCCCAAAATTGTTAAGATCACTTCTTCGTGGGTCAAGCGCAACACAGGAAAGAACAAACCGGGGCCTTCCCGTCTTACCAGCAGTTGCCGATTTCTGGGACATGAGATACAAGGAAGATCTAGGTAAAGCTTTTACCACTCCGAGAACGACCCTGTGTTTTGTACCATGCTGGTACAGCGCAACTCTCTCCCGAGTTAACGGCCAGTCTCATAAGCAAGCGGACAAATTAGGTTACCAGGCTCGAATGACACGTCGTTAATTAAAAAGTAAAGCACGTGTTAACGTGGCTGAGCCCTGCAGGACATCTAGGATGGCAAAAAAGGGTTTTTTTCAGAGACAAACGTACAACCCTGAAAATAGAAGCCTCGCAGAAGTGAAAAGTGTGTGCATGTATACGTGTGTGTGTATTTTATATATATATATAAAAAAATAAAACAAACAAAAAAGGGAGGGAGGAGGCTATAAAACATTGCAGAGCAGGCTGCACAGTCAGGCCCACTAAATGTCACTGCAAAAACTTTTAATATTAGGTATTCTTCTTGAAGCCTGAGCCCCAGATCCCCCTAAGTACCCATGCCCCAAGTGCTCAGCTTTCACCAAGACAGATCCCTAATTGCACAAACACTCCAGAATAAAATAAAAAAAAAAGTTTTTTTCCAATAACATGATCATTTCAGGCCAATTCTGACAATCTCTGAGGGCTGCCTCAGGATTTCCGTAAAACCAGAGGCCTGAAACACCGCCTGTTTTCTTCTCACCTTGATACACAGGGAATGAAAAACCACCATGGAAAAGCTGAAAATACGTGCTGATAAACCCAGCCCCACCTCCTCCCAGCCAAAAGCGTTTGGATGCCACCAGGACCCGTGGCACCTAAAGCCTGCGTTTAAACCCTTGACTTAAACGCAAAGCTGGCTGGAGGCGTGCAATGGCTTTCCTTCTCAAGGAAGAGCCCGCTTGCTCGTCACAGAGGCTGCCGGCACCTCCCTTTCGCTCCAGAGAGCATCCGCTGCAGGCTAGGTTGTTTGTTTTAGGACCCTGCCCATCCGCCGGGCCCTTTCCTCTTGCGTTTCGGCCTCCGATTCCTACGCGAGCTAGCACATGCCTGCGCCTGGCCGGACACCGGCAGCTCAGACGGGGCTGACCGAAGGGGTCCGAAACGCCAGGTTTTCAGAGCGCTCCTCGTTTCCATCAGCAAGCGACCGCTCGGCCATCGAAGGAGAGAGCCTCCTGCCTGCATCCGTAGGGAAATAAAGAAACAAGGCCAAATGATTTTCGGCGATTCGTCGCAGTCTTGGGCCATGGCCGCCGTGCCGAATCTTCCCTCCCCGGTGCTGGCCTCTTGGCTTTTCGGTCTCCTTCCTGCCACCCCCCGCTTCCCTGAGCGTCCGTCTCCGGTTGCCGAAGATCCTCCACCACCAGTTGCTCAGCGCTGGCTGCACAGGCCGGACCGGCGCGCGCGGTGGCTGCCACCACGGTCGCAGAGCGCCCCGGGGGAGGATGGGGCCGCGCCAGCCCCCGCTCCGGACGCCCGGCCCTGGGGATGCTCCACCACGCACTCGTGCCGCCCAGGTTCAACTCCGGCGAGGAACTACAACGGTACGAAACACATCTAGGACAAAACAGTCTGCATTTTCAATAACACATAGTCAATACTATTGAACAAATACATACAAGGGAATCCAAACAAAAAGCTAGGAAAACCCAAAGAGTTTGTAAAAGCCATGCTAAAAATGAGCTAGCGCCCGCCCCACCGCTGGTGCCTAGACCTTCTGCTGTTTCTATACCCTCCTGCTGAAAGATCACGATGCAGGAGCAGCCGTGAGATCTGGCTACGCTTCAGGAGATCTCCAAGGCTCCAGTTCGTCCCCTGCAGCGCTCTGTAAACAGAGCGGGATGCCTCCGGGTGAGGCGAGGGGACAGCATCCAACCCGACTCGGGACCTCTTTGCGAGGGCCGGTTATGGACTGCAGGGCCTCTGCTCACCCTTCAGCTCCAACCAACCTCAGCCTAGAGAGAAACTACCAAACGCAACCGAAGCGACGGGGTAAAGCGCCGAGTTCAGGACGCAAGACCAGCAATGCCACGCTCCCGTTACTTCCTTGGCTTTCAGAGGAACCCTGTCCAGCTCGAATTAGCCAAATCAAAGCGTCTGAATCCAGCACGCGGGGAATCTCACTCTGCAAGCGCCTGCCAGAGCCGAGCACCCCGGCTTGCGTCCGCCGAGCCAGCAGGAGTTAAAGATACGCTAACGAGCATCCCCGCAGCACAAATGACATCTCGCGGGCTTTCTGCAGAGGCTGCCGAGCATCCCAGGCGGCCCTGAACCCCCCCGCGCTGACGCTGCGCTATCCTCAGCTGCGGGCGCACCTCTGGCACAGCTGCGCCAGCTCCTCCCCGAGCTCTGTGAACGCTTCTCCCCGCCGCGTCGGCCTCAGCCACTGCTACGGAGCTGGGAAAATCCCAGTAAGGTGTTTTGGCTGGTACTGACCCAGCTGGAGCTGCAATAGCGATGCAGAGAAGCAGCCAGCCAAGGGGGAAATCAATAGCCAGTTCAACTCAAAAAAGAAAGAGAGAAAAGTAAAAAAAGGAGGGAAGGAAAGAGGAGGAGGGCACGTGCTGCCACGCACCTCCTGGCCCGGCGCAGGACCTGCCTACCCGCCTCCTCCAAGAACCGCAGCGGCCCTGCCACGTCTGCACGCGCCCCCGCAACGCCAGGAAAAATCACAGCCCGGCCCTCAACGGAGGGATAGCTACAAACACCAGTAACAAAAAGCAAGAGCAGCAGCACAGCTCAAATCCCAAGGACCCAGAGAGCTTGTGTCTCCTGCCAGGCTTCAGGCGAAAGGAGAGGAGGATCCGCAGGGCTACTTGGGCAGCAGTGGAGCCACCTCCAGCTGCGTCTTCCTCCACACGGCTCATTGCTCTCCAATACAACTCTATGCACATCCTAAAATCAGCGGTACTGCACTTTTTTTTCTCCTTAAAGTTGTATCTCCAAATGAAAAGGTGGTAACTGCAAGAAATATAATTAATAAACCTACTCCTGGTTAATTGTTTTTATATATTATAAAAAGTTATAAAATCTTGTTTAGCAAAAGACAGATTTCTGATGTTAACAGCAACAGTACCCCAAAACACTCAGAAGTTCAAGAATCTATGTACTTTTTTGTGGAGCCAGCATAGCATGTGTATGGTTTCTTCAAGTGTTCATTGCTTAGGTTTTAACCACAGTAGTCTTCTAAATCATATAATCTTAATCTACTAATCCTTAATCTGTTAATTATTATATTAATCTTAACTGCTTTCCATTCACTCACTTTGCTTTTAGAATTAATTTCCCTGTTTTGTCTAAACAGGCAGGCAAATAAGTATTAGCAAATCAAATGCCAAAAGATCAAATTCAACTTACAGGCGATTAAACACCCAGGAAATCCTCAGAGATATATTTGTTTACCTGCTTTGAAAGCCAAAACCTTTGCAGCGAGGAGAAATGACGTTCGCTAGCCGGATTCCTTCCGTGCCAATCGAAATGGCCTAGCGTGCAAAAACCAGCTAGGGTCCCTAATGTGAAGGTACTGGATATGACATTCCAGTGTGCACTTCCGAACGAGGCAGCCTGACACCCGTCTACCCTGCCTCACATTCGCCAAGTCTGATCCTTTCCTTAATGCCAAAAAACCCGCGATTCAGCAGAGAACAGCCGTAGTTACCAAGACGCGAATGGACATCGAATCAGCTCTGTTCCCTCCTTCGTCCGCACGCTTCAAGTATTCGCAGCGCTTTCCCTGCACTGGCATTGAACAGCACAGAGATAGTCATGGTTAGATCCTACAGAAGTAAATACGAGCCTATTATGCTCCCAATCATAATGCGTCCAGCAATGTTTCCCTACTGCCTTTCCACATCCCCAAAGCCCTCGAGCCACTCTGCTTTGCTTTACCGTGCTTGCTTAATTTCCTCCGACACACCAAGTTCTTTCTTAACGCTAAGGCGCGTTCGGTTTGAGAGCGCCTTGCTCTCAGCGTGCGTTTGCCAGCGCGTAAGTTTTGTGCATAAAGCAAGAGCTCTGCTAAGCAGTCCCAAAGCAAAAGAAAGGACGTGATGAAAAATAAAGCTCTTCTCAAGAACAGAGGTGAACACCGAAAACGGCAGTCCAGCCAGGAAGCAGCTTCGCTTCCTATGACCGAGGACGTAAGCTCAGTCTCTGATTTCATACCCTAAAATAACAAAAAATCCCACTTCGTTTTCTATGCAATTCTCTCTCATCGTGAATATGCATCAACAATCAGCTTTGGTACCTCTTTATTTTTAAGAAGATTCTGCACTAAAGTCCCAGCGATGTTGAACGTTGCTATCTCCATCAGATTTAGTGGCCCGAGTCACGTGTCAATCAGCTCAATCAAAACAGATATAAATACACACATAAACTTGACGGTAGATTTGAAAAGCATGCGTTAAGCAACCCTAAAAAATGATAAGCCACAACTCTCCTATGATTTTTGTAGCTGTACGCAGAAGCACAAAGGAACTGCTCCACGCTTTGAAAACTTGTGCTGGTCTTATGAACGCAGCCTGAAGTCGTATGTATTTCCGCGTTACCGTCCGTCTTTACAAAAGAGCAAGCACTGATACCGCCGCTTTCCAAGAGCCAGGACATCCCCGCAGCACAGATCCGTCTCACTACTTTCCATCTCCGTTCCCGTACGGACTCTCTGACTCAGGAGGACAGCAGCACTCACGCTTGAGAAGCTAAACCAGAAGCTAAAAACAAACCAGGAAACCTGTGAACAAATGCAAGTGACAGTAATACCCACTTATTCCCAAAGTTATGAAGGCATCAAAGGGGAAAGGGACGCCGTGGGCTTTGGTATGTTTTCAAGAGGTCCAACTCGGGCACCAAGTTTCTGTGAGTCTCGAGGGGAGGTGGACATCTAAGCACACCTGGATGCAAACCGCACGGGGAGGTTAACGCCCGCCACCTGCTCACAACCACCAGGCATTAAATCGTATCTAAAAAGAGGTTGAAAAGGCAGTTCCTGTAAATTTTCAAATGTTACTCCTCTTCCTCCTACTAATGCAACTAAGTGCCATTCCAAACGGCATCTTGAAAATAAGGTCTTTCACTATCTTCCACAATAAATCATGCAAAAATACAAAAGTCAAGCCCTCCCCTTTGCTGGCGACACATCAAGATGAAACCTCAGGACGGGAAGAAGCAAGCCCCAGTCCTCAGGCAGGACCAACGAGGACAACTGGGACACAGCTCCCGGGATGGACGTGCTGCGCTGCTGCAGCTTCAGGCGCAGCGGGGACCTTCCATGGGCCTTAAAAACACAGGGGATCAGCCAGACCTTGGGTCCACACCTGAGTCCTCAGTTGCCTCACTGGAGACGGAGCTGCACAGAAACTGCAACTTTGGCCTTTTTTGAGATAAGAAGAACAACGAAAGTTTCAATCACTGCAACAGGAACCGGTCCAGAGGGAGTAAGGGGATCTCTTAAGAAAGCAATCCCTCAATGGTCGTCTTTTTTTTTTTTTTTTTTGTAAGAAGGAAACTGCCTGCCAGAGAGTTGCACAAAAACACGGTGGAAACCAGAGCCCTGCCCCAACACGGCACATCCTGCCTCCAAACTATCGCTCGGCTCACAGACCTCGGCCAAGGCAACGCGGCCGGCACCAGCGTTTCCGTCCCCTGCGACGGGCCCACAGCAGCTTCACAATGGGTTTTTGTTCGTTTTTTATCCCCCCCCCCGAAAAACCCCACAACTCGCCTTTCAGACCTGCAGAATCCGGGTTGCTGGTTTTTGTTTGTTTCGTTGCTCCCTTTCCTGCACGTTTTCCTACGGAAAAGCCTTCCTGCAGCTAAAAAGTTGCACTAGTTCGTAACAAAACAAAACAAAACAAGCAGCGGGGCCGCGGGACTGCTGCAGCTCAACGCGCGCTCCTGCTCTGGGGCTTTGGGAAGCACTAAGTAAGGTCCGTGTTACCGCAGGAGACGCAGATGTAACACTGCTAGCTATAAAAGCACCGGCAGGCCTGCTTAAAAAAAAAAAGCCATAAGTCTCTGCCC